CAGTCATTGAGTATGTTCAAGGTCAAGACAGACAGATTTCTACAAATGGAAGACATTATGGGATATGGGCGCAGTGCAGGAAAATGGTGCGGAAGTAGAAGATGAGCTGTAATCTTATTGAATGTTGGAGCAGGCTGGATGGGCTGAATGGCATTGTGCTGCTCCTGTTTTGTAAGTTTTCTCTCTGCCCCAGGGTAAGCCAGGATTGACTTGTATTTCTAGCACAAGCTGTCAGGCTACAACTGGAACTGATCAAACTCAAGGCCATGGCTGTTGTCCAGGAGCTGAAATCAAAGGCACGAGAAATCTTCATCATCATGGAGGATCAGCTCGGGGCCAGATTCCTGCAGGAAATGGAAAGGTACTGGAGTTTCTTTCTTGTTCTAGCAGCAGCTGAAGACCTCCCTCAGGAAGTTAGAATCCTCCCTTCCCTTCCACTCCTACCTTCAACCGTGAACCCCCAGCCTACTCTGTCATCTATTCTCCTCCTTCTCCCCATCCATCCAACCCTCTCCTGTTAATAGACCCAGTGCCCCTTCACTGCATTCCTATCCTCCACCTCTCCTCCTCTTCCTTACCTTCTGCTCTGCACCCCTCACCACCTCCCCTTTCTTTCATACCCGTTACTCCTCCCCACTTTACACCTCCATCCCTCCCAGCCTTCACTCTTCTCTTCCTCAGCTCTCCCCGCCAGTCGTCAATGTACTTCATCTCCCTCCTTTATCATCCCCTCTTCCTCCCTCATCCTCTCCCATTGTCCCTCCAAACCCCTCAAAACGTGAGCTCTCCAGCACACTGAACATTGTCGATGCAGGCTGAAATGTTGAGGAGTCCTGAGGGTGAACAGTGAGGCTGTTTGCGCTGAGACTATTCCACAACCACCAGGCACTGAGCTCATTGAACTGTAGATTAATACAACTCTGCAAGGCCCTTTTACTTGGTTTGACTCACATTGAGGTAAACTAACAACCAAGTTTTTGCTCTAACGGTTCCACAGAAGATTCTAAATTAAGATACTTGCAAATAGACAATCTCCATAAGTCATAGTGGTGTATTTTTGGAGCCCATTGCTTGAGCTCTTCATTGCTAAAACAAAAGGTTAACCCTTGGAAGTTAGATGAGGCCAGCTACAATTGTTGATCATTTCCTGTGGAAACTGACTCCACAGGATAGCACATTTAGGGAGATGAAGAAGATTCCTGGCTTCAGGTTCTGCAGCTGTCGCACTTATTACTGCCCAGTTCTAGATCATGGGGATCTACAGCACGCAAAAAGGCCCTTCGGCCCATCGAGTCTATGCTAGTGAGAAACAGCCACCTAATTATTCTAATCCCATTGTCCAGCACTTGGCCAATAGCAAGGCCAATATGCCTTGGCATCATAAGTGTACATCTAAATGCTTCTTCAATGTGATGAGGGTTTCTGCTTCTACCTCCCTCATAGGCATTGAGTTCCAGATTCCCACCACCCTCTGGGTGAAAAACACTTGTCATCACATCTCCTGTATTCGTCTGCCCCTTAGCTTAAATCTATGCTCCCTGGCCCCCTCCATCAGGGGGAAAGGTCTATCCTATGTTCTTCATCATTTTATACGTCTCAATCATGGGATATGTTGTTTTTCTAGTGCATGTCAATATACAAAAGGAGGTGGTGTTGGGTGTTTTGAAAAGCATTAATGTAGTCAAGTCCCCAGGACCAGATGAAATCTGTCCCAGAATGCTGAGGGAGGGAAGGGAGGAAATTGATGGGGCCTTGTACGAATTCTTTGTATCCTCTATAGTCACAGGAGAGATCCCAGAAAACTGGAGAATAGCCAATGTTTTCCTTTGTTTAAGAAGGGCAATAGGGATAATCTGGGAAATTACAGGCCAGTGCACCTTATTCATGGTAGGGAAGTTGTGGGAGAAGATTCTTAGGGATAGGAATTACTCACATTTGGAAAAATATGGACTTATATGCAATAGTTAGCATGGCTTTGAGCAGGGGAGTTTGGTGTCTCAAACATGATTGAGGTTTTTGATGAGGACAGGGTGGTAGATGTTGTCTACATGGATTTTCAGCAAGGCTTTTGACAAGGTCCCTCACGACAGGCTGAGACAGAAGGTGGAGTCTCATGGAATCTGCAGTGACCTTGTAAGATGGATACAAGAGTGCCAGTGGTGTTCCACAGGGATCAGTGCTGTGGTCTGATTAGTGATATTGCAGACAACACAAAGACTGGGACAGCTGTGAATAGTGAGGAGTATTGCCAGGGGATACAGCTGGATATAGACTTGGATGGAGAAATGGCAGATGGAGTTTAATCTGGACAAATGCGAGGTGATGCATTTTGGAATATCTAATGCAGGAGAGAAGTATACAGTAAATGGCAGAACCCTTAAGTTGCATCAGTCTTCAGAGGGATCCAGGCACACAGGTCCACATTTCCATGAAAGTGGCAATACAAATGGATAAGGCGGTCACAAAGGCAATTAGCATACTGGCCTTCAACTGTCGGTCCATAGAGTATAATAATTAGCAAGTCATGTTGCAGCTTTATACAACTTTATTTTGGCCACATTTGGAATATTGTTTACAGTTCTGGACACCACACTACCAGAAGGACATAGCGGCTTTGGAGAGTGTACAGAAATGGTTTATCAGGATGTTGCCTGGTTCGGAGGGTGTTAGCTACGAGGAGAAATTGGACAAACTCAGTTTGTTTTCATTTGTATGTCAGAGGCTGAGGGGTTGACCTGAGAGAAATTTACAAAACAGTCAAAGTCTTTTTCCCAGGGTAGAAATGTCAATTACCAGGAGACATAAGTTTAAGGTGAAAGTGGGTGAGGTTAAAGGAAATGTGAGAAGCAAGTTTTTTTACACAGAGGGTAGTAAGCGTCTGGAATGCGCTACCAAAGGAGGTGGTGGAGGTGGGTACAATAGCAATATTAAAGAGGCATTTTGACAAATACATGAATAGGCAGGGAACAGAGGGATACAGACAATATAGACGCAGAAGGTTTTTACTTTAGAAAGGCATTGAGTGTTGGCGCAGTTTTAATGGGCCAAAGGGTCTATTCCTGTGCTGCACTGTTCTTTGTTCTTTTGAAACGTTCCCCCCATCAATCTCCTCTGCTCCAAGGAAAACAACCCCAGTCTGTCTAATCTCTCTGTCTCACAGAATCAGAGAAATGTTACGCACAGAAGGATGCCATTTAGCCCATCAGGACAGCACTGGATTTTCAAATAAGCTCATGATATCGTGCCAATCTCCTGCCTTTTCCCCGTATCCCTGTATGCTATTTCAATCCAAATAACCAGCCAATGCCCGCTTGAATGTCTCCAGAGCTCACTCTCTCTTCCCCACTCTCTCTCTCTGTCCCAAATGTTTCAGTTCTTTTCAGCAGCTGGCCTTCTTGAATCATTCTTTGTTGGCAAAAGTTAAGTAGATCCCTGTTACCAGGTGATCATTGCAAATAAAACTAAAATCATGATCCAGATAAGGCATTCCAGAAGCAGTTCCTCTCCCACATGAAATAAAAACTATAAGTGCTGGAGAAACTCCATTCCAGCAGCAACAGAGAGTGAGACCAAGAGACAGAGAGACTGACCAAGTTACTGTTTTGAGTCCAATGACTCAACCCATATTTTTGTCTGCAATGCCCAATTAACATTCTCACAATGAATCATCAAGGACTTTCTAAGCTCCTGAGTGAGGTTCTTACATTTCTGGGCATGTCTCTCTGTAATCCATCACGAACTTGCCTGACCTATAGTTAGCAGACACATAGCAGCCTTTTTGTTTCAGTGTGTTGTGCCTAATGATGGGCAGATCAACTTTTCTACAAAAAGAGGTAAAGCTTTTTAACAAGTGTTTTTCCTAAAGATTTCCAGATCCTAAGTGTACAGTCGTCTTCCCATTCATCAAGACACCTCAGAATGTGTGAGGAGCTCTGGGGACATATTGTCAGAATACTGTCCATTGGTAAATTCCAGGCTGTAACAAGTCTGCAGCAAGTGCAACGATGCAGCGATTTGATCTCATTTGTGGTTTACTTTCATGAGCGGAGGATGTTCACTGAAATATTCGAAACATCAGCAAGAGTTGTAGCTCACGCAACTTTCATCCCAATAACAGGCCATTCAGTCCTTCCAGTGCACATTGATGTTTGTACTCTACACCTGCAAAAAGCTCCAATCACATTCATTGGCTTTAGCCGTAAACCCATTCAGCAGTTATCAGCAGGCTGTACTGAAGACCTCTAGAACTTGCTGTGCTCCAGGCCAACTCCTGGACTTTGTGGGAGGTGTGTTCTGCGCTGACCGAACAATGTAATGTTGCAGCACTGCAGACTCTGCCACTGGTAGGCCAGGTGGTGTTTGAGGGGCCAGGTACCTGGAACGCTTTAGAACCTGTCCTGTGCTTCACAGAGATGGGTTGGAGTATTGCAGCGACAAGGATGGAGATGAATGTTTGTGCAATGGCACAGTCCTACTTGACCCCAGTGTGTACTCATACTGTATGGGTGCTGGATCACTCAAAGTGCTCTCGTATTGGGAGTGTGATGGGTCTGTCACTGTGCCCTTGTATTGCACTGTAGGGATTGTATGATTCACAAAAATAATGAGACCTAGGCAGATAGTGAAATAAAACAAGTTACTGTGGATGCTGAAGATCTGAAACAAAATCAGAAAGTGATAGTGAAACTCAGCAGATCTGGCAGCATCTGGGGATTGAGAAACAGAGTTAACAGTTTGCGTCCAGTGACTGATATTCAGAACTGTTCTGCCATTCCAAGATGCTGCCAGACCTGCTGAGTTTCTCCAGCATTATCTGTTTTTGTCTAATCCAGTGACGGTTGTATTTAGGCGGCTCCTCGATGACCAAGTGAGAATAGTCATCTCCTGGGGTAAAATCGCGGTGAGCCGTGGAGTCGTTTCTGACAGTCAGTCAGTCAATAACCCCCTCAGCTCAGTCCTGTAGCCCTGCAGCTTTATTTCCTTTGAGGATGGGAGATACCTGGTAACAATCTCCAGGAATGAGCTGGGTTTGAGGGGCACATGAAAGCTGAGTGATTGTGCAGGGCACTGTGACACCAGCTCTGTCAGTGATTATTTTTAGGAGCAGTCACTCGGAGCCATTTGTGGTATGGCTGCTGAAATATTTCAACAAAGTTTCTCTTTGATCAGTAAGGCCTCTTGACCTGAACCTTCATGGAACTGGGCTACAGGTTGTTACATTAAAGAAGTTTCTCCTCCAGGATTTTCTGTTTACAATGACCACATTTGTGTCAGAATCTGGAACCCTCTCAGTCTCTGAATGGGTTGCTGCAGGGTCCTATTAGCCAGCTGACTGGAATCGCACATGGAGAATACATCAGGTCACCACATCCGTGGCTGATTCACCACGTGTGGTGAGTGGTCAGCACATTGTCTAATACTGACTCACATTACCCACAAACAAATCGAGCAACAACTCTGCTCCTTATGACCACACAGCTGGAGAAAGAAGCTTTTTCATATTATACAGCCCACTCTTTTTCCCTCGATTTAACTCCTCTCTGCCCCAACAATGAATGAAAGTCTCCAGTTCTTGATGTATATGGTGATGACTGACAATAACTAGTCACCTGTATCTCTTAATCTCCTGAGATCTAGTTTCTGATCGTAATTCTATTTTTACTTTGTGGTTTTCCAGCATCGACACTCTGCTTGATATCGGCCTGGGGTATGTGAATGCTGGCACTAAGATCAAACACCAGCTCATCCTCAAAAGCAAGGAGTTCTTCGTCAATGGAGACGTGAAGATGATTCCTGACCCTCCACCACTCACCCGCTTACCTTCCAAAGAGATTGCAAAGGAAGGCGAGCTAACGATTGAGCAGCTCAGTAACCTGCATCGACAGTTTATGCTTGTGGCACCCACAGGTAAATCCTCAAGCATGGACAGGCTGACATTGTTGTCATAACCATGTGGGAAAGTGACTGATTCTGAAGCCCTGGCCCTCCCAGGGTCACCACAAAAGTTACTGATTTAATCAAAGTTCGCAAAATCCCTGATTTGAGCAGTCTGGCGGAAACACAGGACAGGTTCCTGTACTTAAGAACCACAGCTTATTAGAAAGAGGTAAATTTTCATCATAAGTAAACATCTAGGAACTATCAACATATGACTCTGCTTGTTGACCCTCTAACCCCCTTTTAGAAGCCCTATACACAAATATACATAGACAAAGACAGATAAAACATAATTGGTTTTATAGATGGTGGGAAAAAACTGGGGAAAGACAGTTCAGTCTGGTTTGTTCAGATGTCCCTTTGCCAAGAGTTTCAGTTCTTCAGTCTCCATTCCCCAGGGGTTCTGTAATTTCTTTGCAGAAAGCACAGAGTGACTGGTACATGAACTGCAAAGTCCCTTAGTCACTGGTTCAAGCAACAGTTTACAGCAACTGGCTTTCTTCAGGCTGCTTGTATTTTACTGCAGAGAAAGATACAACATCTGCCATTCTAACAGGCCAAAGGCTTCTTACTGAATCGTTCATACCCACAAGCTATTGAGCTGCGCACAAATCAAAAGCGTTCTCATCAGGCTGACAAACTTTGGCCTCCATGACAGCTCACAGTTGCACAAACCAATCAACAAATTGTTGCCGGCCAAACCTCATTCTGCTCACCACCCCACCCCCTGCCATGCCAGGCCAGGCCATCTGTAGATACCTTCCTCCACTGCTTGAATAAAGCAGCAGTGTAAACACCACACACAGAGAGAGTTTCAGCAACTTATTTTTAAAAGTGCAGAAACAGCTTCCTTGGTTAAAATCCCTCTTCCACATTAGTCCAATCAAAAATACAAAAAAACAAGAATGATATGGTCCAAACATAGTCATCACCCCAAAGAGATTAAAGGGGCTAATACTTTCCTGGAAAAACACTCTACCATAGCTGCCTCCATAAGGGGTATATAAACTTGTCATTCACAGCTCCTACCATGGTCTCCTGTGTTCCCCATTGAACCACGGCTTGATATCAATAAGAGGGTGAGTGTTTCACTGAGCCATGGGGTTATGTAGAATATCATAGCATCCCTACAGGGTGGAAACAGACCCTTAGGCCCAACAAGTCCACACCAACCATCAGAGCATTCCACCCAGACCCATCCCCCACCTAATCTATACATCCGTCAACACTATGGGCAATTTAGCATGGCCAAACCACTTAAACTGCACATCTTTGGAGTGTGGGAGGAAACCGGAGCACCCGGAGGAAACCCACGCAGACACGGGGAGAATGTGCAAACTCCACACAGACAGTCGCCCGAGGGTGGAATCGAGCCCGGGTCCCTGGCGCTGTGAGACAGCAGTGCTAACCACTGAGCCACCGTGCCGCCCCAAACAGATTACAGTTACAGATTATGGTGGAATACATTTCCACTTTGGCAGGTGGTGATTGGTGGGCTATCATAAGGATCAGGCCTTGGGCTCCAGCTGTTCACAATATAGATCAATGGGAACCAAATGTAACATTTTCAAATTTGTGAAGGATACAAAGCTGAGTGTAATGCAGGAAACGATTTATTCATTTGGAGGCAATGAGATGGCCTGACAACTGAATGGTATCTCATTGTATGTTTGGGAGAAAGACAGGGCCCTTACCTCGCTTCTTCCTCTCGGTGAGGCTGACTGACTATCACAGGATGCTCCTCCCACCCCTCCCCTCTCCTCCCTCCCTTCCCCTTATCCCCTTTCCACCCCTCACCTTCCCTCCTCCCACCCCTCCCCTTTCCACCCCTCCCCTTCCCT